GGGCGTCGCAGACTGGCAGCCAGTGTGGCCCAGTGCTGCTGCAGCGGTAGCCCCGGGGTCTGGAGGGAGCACATCCGTCTTTATGTGGATTAGCCTCGTCTCCGGGCGGAACCTGACATGAGACGGACAAAGTCCAGTCTGTTCTCTCCTGCTTCTTGATCGGCCGTCTTCGTGTGTGATGGTGGATGAGCGGACGGGCGGGCGGTCGGACCAAGGTAGAGGTGGACACTTGCTGTCAGTTGAATTGTGCATGATGCTCCCGTTCTCACGGCGAAAGACCCAGGTCAAGACGGATGAATGGGACTGTGACCACATTCCAGAGAGACCAAGAATTGGGGTAACGAGTTGTACCCACGAGCTCTGGGTGACGGCATCAGCGCAAACAGATGTCGTAGGAATGTTTATCAGTGACGTTTTTGCACCTCAACTCCTGTCGCTAGGCGTCTTCTTATTCGCCATTTGCCGTTGCCGTACGCCGTATCCGACCGCGGTACTTGGTATTGTTCTTGTCATGCCTCGCCTCATTGGTCTCGTTGCAGATGCCTGTATTTGGCCATTGCCTTCGTTTCGATCGTTCTCCAGGCCAAGATCAATTGCTTGTAGAGGCAGATCAGTCAGCGGATGAACTTTGTTCAAGTACCTAGCAGTGTCATGATGAGATGGAGATCCATATGAAATTTGTGCGCGATAGAGAGGGGCCGGCCGAAACAGCAATACAAATGCAAAGGTCGTGAGCGAGGGGGGGATACAGAGGGGGGAAAAAAAAAGACTCGAGAAATGGTACATGTGGCTTTGGACAGGGGGGGTTACCTCTGAGGAAAGAGCAGTTGCGGTGCAAGGTCTCCGCAAAGCAGCAGGGAACACCGCGATACGGAGCAGGGGGAATGGGACAGAATGGGGGGTACTTTCGGAAGGTACTTTCCTGTGGTCGTCGTTGTTCCCGTGAAAGTGAAGAAAAGTAGCCCCACTCCAGTCCATTGCTGCTCTTTGCTGCTGAGTGAAAAATAATCCAATCTCGCTGATTCGTCCGTTGGCCCGCCGTCGCCTTCGTCATAGCCGAGGAGACCCACCCTGGCCGACCCTGTTCCTCAGCACCTTCTCCACAGTCCACACAGCAGCGCGGCAACCAGACGGCCTGCGCCCAATTTGAGCCGAGCACGCACCGTGGCCACCCCCCAAAAGCTGCCGCGGAAAGAGCCCAGAGCGAGGTGAAAGAGGGCAAAAGGTGAGTGTGATCCGGAAAGAAGGTGCGAGGATTTTTTTTTACTGCCACCCCCATCCGGAAAGACCTAGGCCTGGCTTGCTTTGCCGCCTTTCTTCTACTACTTGACCTCCTCGTCGGAAATTCTCTCCACCTTCTTGTTTTCTTCCTCTTAATATTCTTTTCCTCTCCTCCATCCTCACAAACAAAGTCCCTTGAACAGGCAAGGGCACTTGAGATATCTGTTACGAGCTTCATCACAGCTCGGACAACTCTCCACTCAAGCTCAATTGATCAGTTTCATTGCTGTTCTCAGTGTCAACACCAACCATGTTGGCTTCACGACAGCTCCTGGGCTCTATTGCCCGGAGCCGTACTGCCGCCAGTGCCCGTCTGGGACTGCGCAGCATGGCTACCGTCTCCGACTCTCCTCTTGACCGCAAGGTACGATAATTTCCCCCCCTCTAACGCCAGAAGACCGTGGTTTACGGTATCTTCTGTCTGGACAGCATGGCCGGGTGCTTCTTTGGCATCGCGTACGTGTTTGCTCGACATGACAAGGGTGCTGACTCGCCGAAAACAGGTCAAGCAGAACATCCACGAGGAGGGCAACTTCATCAACTATAAGAAGATGTCCGAGAACCTGTCCATCGTTCGCCAGCGTCTCAACCGCCCCCTGGCTTACGCTGAAAAGATTCTCTACTCCCACTTGGACGACCCTCACGGACAAGAGATCGAGCGTGGTGTCTCATACCTGAAGCTCCGCCCCGATCGCGTTGCTTGCCAGGATGCCACTGCCCAGATGGCTATTCTGCAGTTCATGTCTGCTGGCATGCCCTCCGTCGCCAACCCTACCACTGTCCACTGCGATCACTTGATCGAGGCTCAGATTGGTGGCTCTAAGGATCTTGCCCGTGCCGTCGGCATCAACAAGGAGGTCTACGACTTCCTTGCCTCTGCTTGCGCCAAGTACAACATCGGTTTCTGGAAGCCCGGCTCTGGTATCATCCACCAGATTGTCCTCGAGAACTACGCTTTCCCCGGTGGTCTTCTTATCGGAACTGACTCTCACACTCCCAACGCTGGTGGTCTTGGTATGTGCGCTATCGGTGTCGGTGGTGCTGACGCCGTCGATGTCATGGCCAACCTCCCCTGGGAGCTGAAGGCCCCCAAGGTTATCGGTGTCAAGCTCACTGGTGCTCTGAACCCCTGGGTCACTCCCAAGGATATCATTCTCAAGGTTGCCGGTATCTTGACCGTCAAGGGTGGTACTGGTGCTATTGTTGAGTACCACGGCCCCGGTGTCGACACCCTCTCTGCCACCGGTATGGGAACCATCTGCAACATGGGTGCTGAGATTGGTGCCACCACCTCCCTCTTCCCGTTCAACGAGTCCATGCACAAGTACCTCACCGCCACCAAGCGTAAGGACATTGGTGACTTCGCAAAGACCTACGCCAAGGAGCTCCGCGAGGATGAGGGTGCCGAGTACGACCAGCTCATCGAGATCAACCTGTCTGAGCTCGAGCCCCACATCAACGGTCCCTTCACCCCCGATCTGGCCACCCCCATTTCCAAGTTCAGCGAGGCTGTCAAGGCCAACAACTGGCCGGAGGAGCTCAAGGTTGGTTTGATCGGATCTTGCACCAACTCTTCGTACGAGGACATGACCCGCGGTGCTGCCATCGCTCGCGACGCTCTCGACCACGGTATCAAGTCCAAGGCCATCTTCACCATCACCCCCGGTTCCGAGCAGATTCGCGCCACCATTGAGCGCGATGGTCAGCTTCAGACCTTCGAGGAGTACGGCGGTATTGTCCTTGCCAACGCCTGCGGTCCCTGCATTGGTCAGTGGGATCGCCAGGATGTCAAGAAGGGCACCCCCAACTCCATCATCTCTTCCTACAACCGTAACTTTACCGGACGTAACGACGGTAACCCCGCCACCCACTCCTTCGTCGCCTCTCCCGACATGGTCGTTGCCATGACCGTCGCCGGCAGCCTCCACTTCAACCCCCTTACCGATAAGCTCAAGGACAAGGACGGCAACGAGTTCATGCTCAAGCCTCCCTCCGGAGACTCTCTCCCCAGCCGCGGATACGACCCCGGCCAGAACACCTACCAGGCCCCTCCCGCCGACCGCAGCACCGTCAATGTCCAGGTTTCTCCCTCCTCCGACCGTCTTCAGATCCTGTCCTCCTTCCAGGCTTGGGATGGCAAGGATGTCAACGACATCCCCATCCTGATCAAGTGCAAGGGCAAGACCACCACTGACCACATCTCCATGGCCGGTCCCTGGTTGAAGTACCGTGGCCACTTGGACAACATCTCCAACAACATGTTGATTGGCGCCATCAACGAGGCCAACGGCGAGGCCAACAAGATCCAGAACTTCACCACCGGCGAATGGGACGCTGTCCCCGCCGTTGCCCGTGACTACAAGGCCAAGGGCATCAAGTGGGTTGTCATTGGTGACTGGAACTACGGCGAGGGTTCTTCCCGTGAGCACGCTGCTCTTGAGCCCCGTCACCTTGGTGGTCTTGCCATCATTACCCGCTCCTTCGCCCGTATCCACGAGACCAACCTGAAGAAGCAGGGTATGCTTCCCCTTACCTTCTCTGACCCCGCCGACTACGACAAGATCAGACCTGAGGACAAGGTCGACATCCTCGCCACCGAGCTCGAGGTTGGCAAGCCCCTGACCATGGTTGTCCACCCCAAGGATGGCAAGGCCTTCGAGGTTAAGCTGTCCCACACCTTCAACGCCCCCCAGATTGAGTGGTTCAAGAACGGTTCCGCTCTCAACACCATGGCCAAGTCCGCTGGCAAGTCATAAACGGACAATGTTACGTTAGCGATACGGGTCAGGGCGATATGTGGTTAGGCGGTGTAGGCGTACCTCTGTTTATTTAGCATGTTCTGGGGTGTCGGTCGGTATAACTAAAGTGTATGGCCGTGTTACGCCCTTTGTTTTGGTCGGGCAAATACCTCTGGGACTATTGTTTTTTCTATGTCATGTAGGCCATGATTTCCTAGTATGTACAAATTTGAAACGTTCAAACAAAAGTTCGATGCAACGTGACGATGCGAGATCGAGTCCCAGGCTGTGTAAGCACCGTAAATTAGCATGTGATCTTCATACATTTTACCAACGATTCAGTATTTGAAGCACCTTAGAGACCCAGGACGAGTTACATAACTCACTGTGACGCTGTTATTGGAGGCACGTGATGATAAGAGGTGGGTGTGTCGTACAACAGGGGTCTTATCTAACATTTTTGGGATCGTCCGAAGAGGTCCGAGTGGACCGGGAACATGCGGCAGGTTGACTACAATTTCTCAACTGCAGCAAAACACACCATCTCCGTAGTGCCAACTCGAGCTGACTCTCATGCCTTGTGCTATCGACTGGACTCACTGCTAGAACGACTTTCGAACTTGGAACGCGGCGATTGGTGCTTGTTTGACCGACAACTTTTCCACCCGACCCTCGACCCTCGACCCCTCTGGATCCCGTGTATCCCGGAGGCGGCAGGCGCGATGGCTTCCAACATAACGTCCTTCAGCACCCTTCGGGCTCGCTCTTACGTATTCCGTTTACCGCTCTTTACGCGCATCGTTCTACTGGTCATCATCGCCGCGTGGTTCGCTGGTCTTCAACATTCGTGGGATGTCAGGCATTGGGGCGCCCTGATTCCTGACCAGCTGTCCTTTACCTCGTGTAAGCTTCCCTTGCCTGCCAGGCGGCTCTCTGTGGGTGCGTTCTTGTACTGATTGTGTTTTGGCGACAGCATACCGAATGAACACGTTCCCCTTCGTTCATGTGAATCTCATCCACACGGTCATGAACCTGGCGGCTCTTGCGCCGTTGATGGAGCGGTTCGAGGCGGAATTCGGGACCTTGACCTCTATTGCCCTCTTCATCGGCCGTAAGATACCCCCTTGGTGTACTCTACAAGGTGTAAACGACTAAATTTTTTTGCAGCCCTGAGCACGATCCCGGCCATTCTCTACACCTTGATCGAACGGTTTCTGTTCAAGGGCAACACCGAAGTTATGGGAGCTAGGTAAGAAACTATACAGGTGACGCCCGCGAGCGCAAGAGGGAGAAAATAAACTAACGAGGAAACCTCAATGTAGCGTCTGGGTCTTTTTGCTCCTGGGTATCGAGGCGATCCGAACCTACAAGACGAACCCCCACCTGACGATTGCGACGTACTCGATTCCCACGTGGACAACTCCCCTGATCCTTATTCTGGTGGTTACGGCGCTCGTTCCCGGCACCAGCTTGCTTGGTCACCTCTGCGGCGTCCTGGTTGGATATCTCTGTAAGAGACCTGCCCCTTCCGTTCCCTGACCTGCTAGAAGGATATATGACTAACTAATGATTTACTCTTTCTAGTTGGTCTCGGCTACCTCAAGTTCCTCAGCCCACCCGAAAAAGCCCTGCGATGGATCGAGTCGAAGCTGAACCTTCTTGGCCGGCTGCCGCACTACGTGAGCGTCGACCAGAAGACTTATGGTCGATTCGGCGTCTTACCCACTAACACCCATGCTGGTGGCGGCAGCGCACCGATTGCGCTTGTTGGCACGACGCAGAGACTGGGGCCATGAAGGTGGACGCAGTGTGTGTGCGTATGTATTGAAGCTTGTAATACTACATGGCATACTTTGTCCCGGTTAGGCTGCATTTTGCACCTTGGTCGGAGTTTGGAGTTCATAATGCAGGCAAAAGAAAAAAAGCGGCATGTGTACGAGGCGTGGTAGATTTTGTTTTGTATTACCAGTTCTCTCTATGTCCATGTTTACTTATGATTGTAAACTATATAATATGAAGATTCTCGTATGTCCAAGTATTACTGGCTCTTTTGCCGGAGTACTTGCGTGTAGACGCATCGCATGGTTGGACGGAGAACGGGGCCAAAAGTCTCACAGATCTCGCGAGTCGTTTCCTGCTTGTGCGTACTAGATTGAGAAAGTTGGAAATACTCTTGGTCTCTTGGTGACCAATTTGTCCAGCATGCCGAGTGAAGCGAGAAAGACAGCGGTGAGAGGCAAGTGTCATGCCAATTTCAAGGAAGTTTATCTGATGATCAAAGTTGAATTCAGCTAATGATATGAAGTGTACGTACCGTACTGCTCTGTGACATTAGATGCTCGTCGACCCATGTTGGCCAGGGCTTTCGGGAACCAACAAGTCAACTAAGCATGATCACATGTTCCAGCTAACTTGGCTAGAACACCATCTCCATTGGAAAACAGATCCGTTTCCTCGTCTTGGACTGCTTTCATGGGGATTCAATTTGCAAATGTCGTAAAAGACGTAGCCCAGGAATATGTTGTCGACGCCTAACAAAACTTTGGCTCGAATGCCTTGATCCTACTCTCACCTCACCTCACCTTGCTGACATCCGACGAAGATGAGCCCCACTTCCTACGTCCCGTCAAAGCTAGTCCGTATCCGAACTAGCCCCATCCGCCAAAACGCTAATAAGAATTTCTGCGCTCGTTCAACCCTTCTCTTTCTTTTTTCTCTTCACATTCAAACGTAACACGATCCTGTCAACATAAAGCTGCTTGTCAACCTCTTCCATATTTGCCGCATTTCCAGGATCACAGTTTCTAGAGTATTCAGCCGCTCGTTTGAGGGTCGTCATCGCTTTGCTCTTCCGTGATGGCTTCCCATGAAGAAGTGGCTACATGCTTCGAACCAAAACATTGAAAACTTGCCGATGCTTTGATCTTACGATGCCTTTGAGCGAAAATCACAAACAAGGTAGATGAAGGCCCAAGTTGAACGCTGAAAGTGCTGGATATCTTTTTAAAACTTCTATCGATACATCCCACGCTACGCAGGCGCGGGAGTCGGTCCCTTGAAATATTTGCTAGGGACCAACGGCATCTTGGAAACCACGGCTCCCCTCTTCTTGCCTCGCACCACAACGTCCAGCTCGGTGCCGGACTTGTGCAGACCTTCCTTGACGTAGCCCATGGCAATGTTCTTGCCCAACGTCGGGCTGGGCGAACCGCTGGTGATGACGCCGACCTTCTCTCCGTCCTTTGTAAAGATCTCGGCGCCCTCGCGGGCCGGCGCGCCCGAGATCACAAAGCCCACGCGGCGCCTCTCGATGCCCGCACCGCCCTTGCTCTTGGGCACGAGCTGCTTGTTGATCACCTCGGCGCCGTGGAAGCCACCCTTTGTGCGGCGCTCCTTGGGGATGATCCACGACAGGCTGCCTTCGACGGGGGTCGTCGTGTCGTCAATGTCGTGGCCGTACAGGCACATGCCCGCCTCGAGTCGCAGGCTGTCGCGTGGGCCGAGACCCGCGAGCTGCAGCCTCTCCGGGCCGGCGACCTTCAACAGTGTCTCGGCGATGGGGCCGGCCTCGCCGTTGGTGGACTTGAAGGAGATTTCGAAGCCGTCCTCGCCCGTGTAGCCTCCGCGGCTGATCATGGCCTTTTCGGGCGTCGATTGCCACTGACCCTGGCTGTCCTGGTACCGGAGGCGGGCGAAGCCCGTGGTGCCAAAGTAGAGGGTGCTCAGGTCCAACCCGTCGGCCGGGTCGAGGACCTCCTGGAGGATCTCGGCGCTCTGGGGGCCCTGGAGGGCGACGAGACCGTAGCCCTCGAGGACCTCCCACCAGAAGTCGGTGCCCTCGGGGTTCTGGAGCGCGGCGGTGTGCTCGGTGAGGTAGGCAAAGATCTTTTCGCGGGTGCCGGCGTTGGAGACGACGGCGTACTCGTGCTCGCCGAGGCGGGTAATCATTGTGTCGTCGACGATGCCGCCCGTGCCCGGGTGCAAGAAGGTGCTGAGCTTGCTCGTGTTGAGCTCCATGTCGGCGACGCTGGAGGGGGTCACGGTCTCGAGGAAGGCGGCGGCCTTGGGACCGGTGAAGCGGTGCTGGACCATGTGGGAGACGTCAAAGAGGGAAGCGTGGGTGCGGGTGAAGTGATGGGACTCGGCGAGGGACTGGCCGGCGTACTGGACGGGCATGTGGTGGCCGCCAAAGATGACCATTTTGCCGCCGTGGGCGACGTGGAAGTCGTAGAGAGGGGTCTTATCCTGCTTGGAGAAGGCGGCGAGCTTCTCTTTCCAGTTTGCACGGGATGCCGATGCCGAGCTGTAAAAGCGGTGGTTGTTGTGTAATTGTGATGTTCCCGCCGTTCTCGGGGCCGGAGCCGTGGAGCTCAGTCCGGCGACGGATGCGAGGGGCCGGCCCTGGCGAGCGGGAGTGGCCAAGAAGGGCCTTGCCGTCCGGGCGGCTGCTACCAGTCTTGATCGTGTCATTTTCAATAATCCAATTGAGCTGATGTATTGGTGAAATTCCTGAGGAAAGAATGAGAATAGAAGGGATTCAAAGTTTCGAGGGGAGGGGAGGAGGCGGCCCAAAGGTATGACGGAGAGCTTTCCCTTGTACCGATAAGGTATTCGGATGCGATAAGATGAGGCGGGTCCGAAGCTGGCCGAGCTCTCTGGTGTCTGATTGGTGAATTGGGCGGAATCGTCTCGGTCCAGGATCCGAGCGCTCGGTATGGCACCCGCCGACTGGCGGTCTCGCACTCTGGAAGGTCTGAATGTTGGTTGAGGCGGTCGGGTCTGTTTCCTCTGCGGCTTGTCCAACCGGCAGATAGCCGCGCGGTCTCTTATCTGCGTCTCGCGCACAGTTGTCGCGTTTCTCTAGTAGCTCATCTCCCCATCCGCAAAGACAGGTGTATATCAAAGACTAAGGTGGTGTCGAGTCATGAGCATACCTCAGTTAAGCGCAGTTGGTATTTTGGTGATACTTACCTGGTGGAAGAGCTGCGATAGTTGCATTGCATCACACTGTTGGGCCAATGCTTTTCGAGGGCCTCTTTGTGCTGTCGTACGGGTGTCTCCTTTGAAGAGTGGGTTTCGCTTCACAATATGATACCGAACAAACATCACTGGGCTCATTTCTCTCTCTCTCTCTCTCTCTCTCTATTGGATCGAGAACCCTCCTTCACCGTTCCCCTTCATCTCAAACCAGTTTTGCCACATGGATGCTGCTTCTTGGGCCAGAACTAGAAAATTCAATTGGAGGGAAAGGTCTGAAAGTCAGGTTGCCCGATATGCTCGTTCTCTTCCAATTTACTAATACCAATGCCGTTGCAAAGATCTAGTCAGACGAAAAGAGAAACGGTAAGGCGAGGAAAGTAGGCCGTAGGCCGTAGTTGGATGCAGGCTCAAACGTGTATCCCGTACTTTTGAGCGTAGCGATTTGAGCAATTCAGAATGAGACTGAGGCCCACAGTTGTCTTGCTCAACCAGTTGCTCTGCCTGATGGCCATTCTGCTGGACCCAGTCGTTGCCGCCTTGACGAGACGGAGAGCTGAACATGCTGAATCAATAGTATACATGCGTAGGTCGATTAAACTTCAGCTAACAACATTTGTCGGCTTGTAATGCAACCGACTTGCAAAGGCAAAGAAGGGACCCAGAGCAACAGAGCTAGCTACCCTGAAAGTTGCAGTTGGGGTTAACAGAGGGACCTAGGTATTAGTTCCCAGACTCGTGGAAAACTGAGAAACCACGACACGACTCTTCATCGTCGGTATCCCTGCAACTTTGGTTTCTGAGACATCAAAGCAAGTGCGGCTGAGAAAGTTAAAACACACTCAGCACTTCTTATGCCGTATCCCGGGTTGGAAAAAAGAATGGTGCCTGGTACGGAACTAGTCGTGAACTATTGTACCTCTAGAGTTGCCCACCATGTGAAGCGCGATGTGAAGCGCGGGGACCATCAAAAAAGCCCAGCAGCTCACCAAGGCGTGTTTCCAATCGCCCATGGCAAATCTCGATGACAAGAAAGCGGGCTCTCTTCATGGCCTCGAAAAGCCTATGTCTCTTCCGGGACACAAGGGATCGGCATTCGCCATACAAATCGATGGGCCGCAGAGCTTGAGATTAGCATCAGTTATGGAGCTGGAAGCTATACCACTTTTACTATAATAGCAGGTACCTCAAAACGAAGCTCCCCACAGTAGGTAGGTCGGTTGAGGCAAAGAGGAAAACGTGGGAACCTCGGGCGCCCACCGACCACGGACTGTCTCGACTCACATCACGCCAGGCTACAAGAAACTTGTACTTATTCGAGTGATGGTAGCGACAAATGGCGTGAACATCTCACCTCATGATCAGGCCGCAAGGGAAAGAAGAAGCAGCAGAAAGCGTGAGAAAGCGTTCTTGGGGAATGAGACGGAGAAGCCACAGGGCGGCGCCACGTCGAGCTTGCAAGGAGCAACCGTGGCGTGGCGAGCAATTGCGTGGGTCACTCGCCACATCTCCAAAAGCCATGGGTCGACGGGCCACAGTTTGGGCGTGGGGTCGCGTCGAGGAGGGAGGGGGAGGTTCGCGCGAGGTTCGATCGCAGGCATACAGCTCGATGACCGTAGCCACACTTGGATGGGGGAGGAAGCATGGTTGGACCGGGGAGGGGGGGAAGCCACAAATCGGGAGCCGCCTCATGTTTCTCCAAGTCTCACTTCTTCAACTCCCACTCCGACTTCTACTGACGGTCTTTGTATGAGGAGGAAAAAAAAAGTGGCTAAAGCACCGTGGCATCTAGCACCCTCGGCAAAGCGACCCCCCCGCAAAAGCTCTTTTGCTGGGATGCGACCCCTGTTGGTAGTCCATTTGGTTTTCAAGTTCCGAGACTTGAACATTTCCTCGACGCGATCCAGGCCCCCAGGTCATTTCCGTTTCTCGCGGCTCCCTATCGTAATAAGCGTCTGTATGAGCTGTTTGTATCCTACATTTCTGCGGAGTACTACCCGTACGAATAAACCGTCGCCGCATGGGGGGTTGTTTTGGCAGATTGCAACCTGCCAGGCGGATACAGCGTTGCATTCATAGCAGAAGTGAAATTGCTTCACATCCAGGAGCAGCAGTCTAGGTAGCCCCCATCAGCAGGTGCTTTAATTCAAAAAGTAGAGACGGGAGTCGACCTTGCTGATTACTCGTGGGGGCATTGTGCTGGCAAGTGCTAGTGTTAAGTCCTAGACTCTACTCCGTAAGGTCAACCTCTACGAATGCAACTTCAAAGTTCAATGGAAGAAAGAAGGTAAGGAAGGTACGGTACTTATGGATACGTATTCAAGGTACCTCACTTGGCGTGCTACCTACCTTAAGGTACCTTGGGTGCTACCTTAAGACTCTAGCCTCTCTAGCGACTAGCCCCCTGTGGCTCAGCCAATGGCTGTCCGCCAGCACCGTCCCGTCCGGTCGTCGCGTTCCCTCTTTGCCCGCTGGTCCCTTCCTCGCTCCGTCCGCTCCATATCAAATTTCACGTCGTGCTCGTTTCCCATTGCGGGTGCTTGTTGCTTTGGCTCTGTTTCCGTCTCTGCATCGTGATCTTTTCGTCTGCTCTACCGGGGGCCCGTCTTCGTCGCCTTTTTTCCCTCATCTGCTCCTCCTAGACTACTACCCCAAGGCTGCCAAACTGCCACCCACACCGAGCACCGAGCACCGAACCTGAGCCCTGGAAAACGAGGTCAACCCATCTTCCATCGTCGCGGCTTGCCCGTCAATTCGGTCTAGCCCCATCCCATTCCCAACCGACGCGGATACGGTTGCCTCATGTCATCCTAATTTCCGTTCCATTCGCTCCCAAACGGTCGGCTCGCATTGCTCTTCCGTCTTCTGTCGCCTCCCTCAGTCTCCATTGCATGTTGCTGTCCCTCTTTTTCGGACGAGGATCCACAAGCAGCTGCACTGCTGAGCGGCAGACCGAGGCCGTACGCAGTACGCAGACGCAGTACGCAGTAGTCTAGGCGTGAACTGAACGGCTGACCACCACCGTATCGGGACACCCATCGCCTCACCACCAAGGGACCACCCCCCTCCCAACCGATATATACAACCCGACTGCCTCGTCCCCCCACAGCCACAATGTCCACCGAACCCTCCCCTCGTGCTGTTCGATTCTCCAACGGAGACGAAGACTTGCGCTCAGACAAGATCATGCCCCAGCGACCAGTTGCCATCCCCGTCGACTCGGACAATTCCGCTTCATCTGGCGAATTCCAACCCGACGACCCCCACGCACTCGAACGTCAAGATGAACTCGGTTCTCTCGCCAGGTATTCCGAAGGCCATATCGCTGGCTCCATGTCCAACCTCGTCCAGGCCGCCGTAGCCAATGGTACGACCCGCAGTCTACGAAGCAACGCCAGCGACGGCGACGCATCCTATACCAATGGCGCGAGCAAAGTTCAACGGCCCAGCGCTCCCGCGAGGACCCCTTCCAACACATATGCCCCGGCCGCCCACCGCAGGCCGCAGCCTGCTCCTTCTTTCGTCGAATCCGTCCGAGCATCATCGAGAGGTCGTCCCCGGCCCAGCGAAAGGTTCCGCCAGCAAGAGAGGGCATACGTGCAGAGGTTAAGGCAGGATCACAACGATGGTTACCCGTTCGATGGCGGATACGTAAACGGCATCAACGGCATTGGCCAAGGTGCCGACTCCGACTCCGAGGGGGAGACACCCTCATCAGAAGGACCCTTTGACGACAGATACGACCAGGAGACCATCATGTTCTACGGCAACGATGATTTGCAGCCCACAGACGAAGATTTGAAGGACCCGACAAATCGAGAACGACTAGAATGGCACGGCATGCTGGAAGCCGTTCTGACTGGAGACGTCGTCAAGCAAGAAAAGAAGCGGTTGATTGGATCCAACGAACAAGCAGTAGGGAAGAGCGGGCAAAAGGCAGAGCTGTGGCTTGGTATTCGCTCAAAAGTATGTGGAAGACATCTTCCAGTGCAGAGACGAATGGTCGAGGAGGCCCGCGCGACGCTGGACCGCACACTAGACGAGATTATCAATTTCTCCGTCAAGGGCGAGAGCGAAGCTGGAAAGCCACCATACGAACAGGTCAAGGACGTGGTCAAGAAGATTGACAAGGCTGAGAGTCTGTACCCTTCTTGGACCTCGCTGGCAGCTGAGCACCAGTCAGCAAACTCCCCGCTCTTCCATGAGGCGTCCGAATCCATCATTGCCTGGTACAACACCAATGAGATGATCAACACAGAGCTTGCTATTCTCAAAAAGTGGGTTGGAAACGAAGAGCTAGATTTCACTCGGACACGACAACGTTCGCCTGTAGGCAATGGCATCAGCGATGAATCCTCATTCCTCGACCGATTGATGAAGGAGGACGGCTTGAAGTCGCTATATGACGAGGAGTTTGACGATGAAAAGAACAAAGATGCACACAAAGGCATGTTGCCTGGTATCTCAACCGTCATCACCAAGTCTAAACAGAC